GGCGAGATTCATGTGATTGTTGTTGGTCGCAAAAAATCCCCAAGCTTTCAGACACACCCACCTCCAAGATTTTCAAGATTTTTTCAAAGCTGCTGTGTGGACGAGGCGTATAGGCTGTTTCTGTAGAAATGTTGATAGCTCGCAGGAAACGCATCTGGGTCACATCAGACTGACAGTTCCTGGTCAGCTGATGGTTCTGTTGGAGAATCAGTGCAACAACAGCAGGTCTCTGAATAACATTCCGTCTGTGGCGTGTTTACAGTAAACAGAGCTTTGTGAATGGCAGCAGAGGAACAGGGCGACATGCAGCAAGCACCCAGCGAGGATGTGGACACCTGTGAAGTAATTAACCCGGCTTACAAGGACGCTCTCTGTGAATGCAGCGTGAGGTTAATGGAGCGGAGAAACGATAACGTTCCTGCTGCTGCAGCCACAGGTCACAGCTTGGGATGGGGGCGTATAGGATTTAAAAGATGAACACAATCGTTTGGAATCTCAAATATTGAGGATAATTGAGGATTTCCCTATAAGAGGATATTGTAAAATATGTCTGCCTCACTATCATGGTAGAGAAGTAAAAAATAGAGCCTTTGCACTGGCTTTTAATACTAGTTGAACATAACTTTTTTACATTTGTATGTGTGTTTATATGTGTCTAGTTGTTGTGCTTTTAATCATGTTTTTAATTATTGTTTTATTATTTTACTCCCATTGTGTTATTTTACATTGTACAGGGAGTACAGCACTTTGATCAGCTGAGGTTGTTTTAAATGTGCTATATAAATAAATAAAGATTGAGATTGAGATTATCTTGTGAAATGTCGTTTTTGGTAAGAACTTGAAAGGGTCGAATTAGTCATAAAGAGATCTTTTATTATAGAAACATCAAGTGCGTATGAGGGAGAGGAAATCATGACTCGTTTTCCTTCCAAACAAAAAACATTATGCAAACGCTACTAGAGGAGGATTTCGTTTTTTGCAAAAATAAATGCAGTTGTTAAAGGGAGAAGTCTACACAGTGGGAAAGAGAGAACTATGATTGGTCCAACTTCCAAACAAAAAATGGTATGCAATCAGTGATAAGGTAGAATATTTTAAATTACATTGGAATAATTGTGTTTGTTCCCCCTCATAAAATAGAGATCTTGGAATTTGACTGGTATTAGTATCAACTACTTCATTTCTAGTAACTTCACATCCCTATAAGATACTACCAAGAAAGGGTAAACATATTTGTCTTGATTGCCATCACAAGAAAAGTCTTGAAAGTATACGTAGTAATTGTGTCATCAATGTGTACTGTAGCAGTACATTACATCTATGACAAACCACTTCAAATGAGCAGCGGTACAGTGTTGATTCCAGGCGGGAAATTGTGTTTACTTTGTGAAACCCCGTGGAGTTGAGAGGTTTCCCCGATGCAGGCATTAAGATGTGAAATCAGGCTGAAATGAAGAAAAACTGACACAAACACGGCCATCCTGTGTGCCTCCTCTCCTCTGCTGCTCATCTATTCATCCATCACTCACTGTGGCCATCTACCCCTCACTCTGCCCCTCCCTTCCACCCCCCTCCTCCTCTCCCCCCGATCAGGCTAAGATCATGGATCACACAGAGGGGACTTATTTATAGAGCAGGGTTCCCGAGGGTGCTCCTCTCCCCACCGGGCATCTCTGCACTCACACAGAACCCCCTCAATGTTTAGTCGCAGGTTATGAGGAGCAGAGTGCTAATTTAAATGCAAAAGCAGAGTGTGTGATCAAATCAAATCTGTGGCAAAAATGACATACAGCACAGCAGCTTGAGGATTAAGAATGAAAAGTAAATCGCTGACATGACGTTATCCTGCGGTAAGCCACACACACAAACAGGTGCTATAGCAGAGGAGGCAGGCAAACACCATAGCGACTGGTGGGATTACGGCCAGCGGTTGGTTGGACAGGGGAGAAGGGGGGCAGGGCTAGGGATGGAAGAATGACCAATGATGGTATAGGCAACTTATTCAACACATGGTCAGCAAGTGCAATCAGTTGCTTTACTCTGAACAGGGATGGTTGTGTATGAGTGTGGACAAATACAATGGCATGTGCTGTGTGTCACCACCTCAGTGTCCATGGACTGGCTCCACTAGGTTGAAGCAATTGAGAGCAACTAATTGAAGAATGTAAAGAGATATATAAAGCCCTAGCTGCCTATCTACTGGCACTATAACAAAGATGAAGTACTGTGAAACTGAGGGTTCAATTTGCGTCTGATAATCAGAGGGTCCGTGGTGCGATCCCCAGCCCCAGTCAACATGTCTAAGTGCTGTGGGTGAGATACTTAACCCCAAATTGCTCCCATAGGCTTGTATATGGTGTGGAAGAGGAAGTAAGCAGGTTTGGGGAAAAGCATCAGCTAAATAGCTACTGGTGGGATTATAGCAGTGCTAAAGCTAAATAAAATGTAATTAATACTAACTGTGCAGACATACATAAACCAATACACCCTAACCCTAACCATGCCCTAACACTGCATGGATCCTCCTACCAACCAAACTACAAATAAAAGTCGAATTATTATATGATGCTAGAAAAAAAGGCATGAAACTACTATTTTGATCAGGATGCAAGGGTTAGGTAGTTGGTGAGTTGTACATGTTTTTTAAATGCCAGAACATTTCTTCAACAGCCAAGATATTAACAGTAAAAATGTGTGCTGCAAACAAAGATTTTGCAACAAAAATTGTTTTTATTCAATACATGTGAGGTGAAGTGATTCAAGAATGTTGTAGAGCCATTTTAAGAGTTTTAAAGCAAAGCCTAATCTTGTAAAATGTGGTTTTTGGGGAGAACTTAAATGAATACAGTTGAATGAGAAGTTTTCACAGAAATATAAACTGGGAAACACGACATGTAGAACATCCAACCAAAAGTGCATACAGTCCTAAAGCAGTTTCTGTAGAAGGCTATTGGATGTATTGTTTAGTCTATTCTACAATCTAATTTGTATAGAGAAACGTGTTTTACAACATTCATTTTGCAAAGAAATCCTCTCGTCATGTTGAAAAACTTCCACACATACCCCGCGCACACACACAGGGGCATAAACTCATGGATGTACACAAAAGGCTGTGGGGAGGAACAGCCATCTGCTCCATTCAGTTAAAGTGGTGCTGAGCAAGAGTCTCCATACATCACTACCATTCAATAAACACTGGCACCACTCAAAGCTGCACGCCCACACGGCCAACCAACACACGGACATACGCTCTCTCCTCCAGTGAGCACGCACGAACCCGGTGACATAAACATCGGCGAAGTGAGTTTACATAAAACACTACATAACAATTCAACAGCACTGTATACTTTACGAAATACACAACAAACCAAGGCAACAAATCCATGCATATCAACAAGAGCTCTTACCCATCAGTTGTGTCTTGCTGTCCGGTTGTGTGTGTGTGTGTGTGTGTGTGTGTGTGTGTGTGTGTGTGTGTGTGTGTGTGTGTGTGTGTGTGTGTGTGTGTGTGTGTGTGTGTGTGTGTGTGTGTGTCCAAAAAGTGTGACTCTATGCAGAGTTGTAAAGTCCACTGTGGAGTGAGAATACAGCGGACCAACCTGTTTCTTTTCCCGTGGCGAGAACAGATCTCCTGTCTTTCACACACTCTCCGTCTGTGTGTTTCTCTCCCTGACGTTCTTCGTTCTGCCCTCCGGCTGCCACTCTCCCTCCCTCCCTCCCTCCCTCTGTTCCTCTGGTCCCCTCCCACTCTCTCTAACTCTCTCCCTCTCTCTCGCAGTGACATCAGAGGGCAGTCTCAGGCATGTTGAGCATTTTATGGGAGTCTTTCTTTTCCTCTCACTCTCTCTCTGAGGGCGTCAGATTGAGATCACATCCTCATTTGACTAGACAAACTCTCTGCTTTTATGAACCACCTCTGCATTTTTGTGTGTGTGTGTGGAGCTCAATGTTGCTCTTCATTACTTGTTGCGCGCAAAACACATCCACACATTTCTGGGATGTGAAAGCCTCCCACACACTAGCAGCCCAACAGAACAGAACAGACAGTTGTTGTGAAGTTGACTTGATGATAATGGCTGCTGCTTGGCCTTGCAATCTGGAACACTTAACAACCGCTGAAGACACGGTGTCTCCGTCAAACTGCACACTGTGGATGCTGCTTACAGCTACGGCTCCATATCCAACGTCAATACTTTGTGGGTCTCATTTTCTAAATAGATATTTTATGGTTTAAGTAAAATGTGCCTATGAAGAGTGAGAATCAGAAATTAGAATAAGAAATCCTTTATTTTTCCGACAGCAGGGATATTAATATGTTTACAGCCAATAAGACAGTGTAGATCAAAAGTAAAATAAAATGATTAAAGGAACATTAAATAGGCCCTATTATGCTGTTGGGGGTTTTCCTTTCCTGTTGTGTGTTATATATGTTTTGTGCCTGTAAATGATCTGCAAAGGCTAAAATCCCTTGGCAAATGTAAAAAACGTAAATGTAATGTAAAACATAGTAAAGGTGAACAAATAAAGATAGTGAGGTAGCAGCCAGTAAGAACTTTGATAAATTGTTAAGAGAAAAAGTATGTATTGCACAGTTTAAAAAAAAGGTTGTGCTTGAGGTAAAATATATTACCAGTGTAAAATGATCATAACATTTTAAAATGTGCTTTTCTGTAGCAGTACAAATTAAAACAATCTAAGGTACAAAAAGAAAATGTGGTTGCTGACAAAATTCAGACAAAATCAAGTATCAATAAAGTATTGTTATATGGTATTGGATCTGAATATACAAACAATAAACGGAGAAAAAGGGAAAGGCTAAGTCAGAGTTTTCTACATGGAAAACGTGTTGCAGGTAAGTGATGGAGTGTGCATTGAATGATAATGAGGAACAATCAGGGCAGTTGAAGGACTCGCCTATCGAGTGGCATCAGAGTCCACTAAAGACAAGTGCTCCTTGGGGGGCGACACCTGACATATGTCTTGCTGTCATATCAATGGTTGGCTTGAAACTCAGCCAATAGGAGTGGGTGGAAACAGGCTGGAAGGGACTGCAGTGGGAATATTTGTTTACTTGCTGAGAGTGTAACTGTTTTGAAATTACAATATTTGGGAAAGTGTGTTCGGGAGTGACAACCAATAGGCACTACTTTGCTGGGGGCTAGAAGCGAAATGAAAGAAGGACTGCACCAAGCAATCAAAACTTGACTTCTGACTATAAAACTTTAAGAAGCTATTGTTATAATATACCTGCTAGATTGAGTTGGAAACTTATAATTGAAGTCTCAACACAGAAGCTACACAAGACTGGCACTTTAGAACGGCTGAACGGAAAGTAAGCATCCCAGTAAAAGCATTTGGTGTGTCCTCAACCCAGAAATGGACATGCCAAAAACAAGTGGACATGGACCAAGCAATATGCCACTGATCACTACCCTTAAAGGATTACATGTCACAAATAATCTGATTGAACCAACTGCATTTATGTGCATTAATCAGGTAATCACCCCTTGCATCCACCGTGTATTAAGAGATTTCAAAAGAATTATGTCTGAATATTTAACAAAGAGCTTACACACCCACACAGGTGCTTTTACATACTTTGACAAATTGGACTGAAATGTGTGATGTGACCATACTGTAGCGTAGGTGACCCACCCAATCAGGTAAATCCAAAGGACAAAGGCGACTTGTATCTTACAAATTACTTTCCGTCACAACTGAAAACTGCATTGTAAGAAATGTTTAGAGTAAAGAGCAATTAGAAGAGCGGATAGGGTGGATGGGTTCAAACAAACTAAAAGGATACCACTGTTCATGTACAGTGTGAAAGGAAGAGTTCACTTTTACTTTTTTTAACTAACATATTTTATCACGTATCTAACTTTAGTAACTTAACTTGTTTCAGCCTTAACAATGTCTGTTTTCTATTCCCAACATTAACATGATTAAAACAGAGACAATAATGTAGGAGAACATATGTTTTCCTAGAAACATTATTGTATATAAAGTATCAAAATTGTACTGGATTTCTTTGACTATTTACAGTTAGGACTGTTTTTTAATTATATTGGAACATTATTTTTAGGATTTGGGAAGATGCTAAGTCTGTAAACAACTGCACATGCTTGGGAAGATGTTCAATCAGAAGATAAGTGAAAACCCCTGTCCGAAAGTCTGTAAGGTTAGAAAGCAGACAAATATATACGTGTTTTAGGTTAAGTCAGACTTGTGTTGCAAATTTGAGAATAAAACCCATTCAAATCAAGATAACAGATAAACTGGAACAAAAATAAAGTGTCCTCTCTCAAAAACATAGCAATGTTATTCAATTCCTAACCTGACCTAATGTAACTGGGTTGCTTGTTTATATGGTGATAAAGAAATCTAATGCTTTAGAAACCCACAAATAATCACATTATGCAAGTACATGTAAACACAATGATTTTTTTCTGCACACATGCAGGTGTGTATGTACGTCAAGCAGTCTGCGTCCGTGTGTGTTTGCAGGAGCTATTTTTTGCAGTTCAGCGTAGGATCCAGGAAGTTTTGTTTGATCAGACAAACACACCCACACACCTGTCTGAGATAGCCTTCTGCGTTATCAGCACGTTGAATGGGGTTGACGTCAAAGGCTTAGCTGAGCATCATGCGGCCATGACACTGATAACAGCATACACACACGCACATAAACACCATTTCATTTTTAGAACTGGAAGGATTATCACCGGGGGAGGGCAGTGACCGGGCTGAAAATAAGCAGAAGGGTTAAATGGAGGGTTACACGGCCAAAGATCAGTGGCGGTGAGTCGGCAGCTTTGCAAACAAAAATGAATGGTGAGACACATGTGGGCAGCTTAGAAAAATATAGTTTTTATGTCGTTGGAAGTTATTCCAGAAAAAAAAGTTGTTAAAGACTTTGAGTGTAAAGGCACTTTAGATTAAGTGCATATTACACAAATACACACAAAAAGGTTTCAAGGTAAAGACTTCACTGTCAAGATTGTTAAGCATTTGAAATACACAAAAGCGAACACCAAACATTCTTGAGAAGATACTTCTTCTTAAAAGCCACTTGAAAAGTTTCCACAAAAACTCTGACATTAACCAATGTTTTCTTATTTGTTATAAGTAAAAACAGGCCTCTTAGAACATAAAAAGCACACTTACACACATTGTAGTGCTACAAAAAACAAATGAAAGCTCAGCGCAAGTTCAATCAGGAAGACCATCATTCATATTACATGTCATTTCAATGCTCTCTCCTCCCTCATTAAGTGATCGGGGGCGTCACTCCCCAGCTAACCAATCACTCCTCTCTCCATTCTCACAAGCCTATCGTTGCACCCGCTAATCCCTTTATATCTGCTCTTCCCTCTTGTCAGCTGTCATTTCAGGTGACAATACGCAACCCTCCTCAACCCCTCTCGCCTCCCGTCTCCTACAGGGCCAAGCTAAACCTTCTCTCTTCAGACCGGTCCCACCTACTTATCACCACCACCAGTGTCTAGACCCCGGGGGGTTTCATCGGAGCGGTTCTTCCCCCTCCTGAATGATTATCCTGCAAACTGGGGCCTAATCACCAAACACCATTTAATTCACTCGTTATAATCTGTCAATCACTATTTCATTCATATTATGTGTCACGTTAATAAACATGTATTTCATACATCAACGTCTCGGTTGGAGTCCCGATCGGACCAAAATAATACGGAGTGTAGACTGGTTCCTGGAGAGGTGCCAGTTCACCTCCTGCCCTTGAGCAAGGCACATAACCCCCAACTGCTCCCTGGCGCTGGACAGACTGGCCGCCTGTTTTGCTCAGGCCTCCCTCACCTGTCCTGTGCATGTGTGTGTATTGTACTGTCTGTTACCACAACCGAGTGAACAACTGAGCTGAATTTCCCTTTGGGATGAAATAAAGCGTCTTCTCCTTCTTAATAACATCGGCTGCTAATCATAATGACGTTGGATAGTGTCAGTGCGGTCGGACTCTCAAAGCACAGCAGTTTCTTTTCCTAAGTCCTGATGAATCTTCCTATCATTAACCCCAAGATGTTTCACAGAGGTTAAGGAATTGTGGTTAGAGACGAAAGGCGATATATTTTGGACAATTTTACCAAAACCCAAACTTCCTAATCCAGGAAAGGTAATTAGCTTCCTAAAATGCTGATCTATAAAGGTTTTACTACCCCTCACCTGGAACCAACAGGGTGACCCTGCCAGAAACTAGTGACCCTGACCTCTCTGCTTTCAGGGGTACCTCAGCCCCAACACCATGTGGAGGTGATGCTTCTCTGAGGGGTATATCAGGAGTCTAAACACATGATGCATGGCTGTGAAAAATAAAAAA